CATTTCCAAGTAAATGTAACTTACTTACTTACTTTTTAAAATCCACATCATGCTGCTGAGAGTGGTCCACACTGTTGATGTTGCCTTAATTGCTTCATCTTTACTGTTTATAGTGGAAAGTACCAGCCAGTGTATGAGGCACGATGGGGTGGCATGAGTGAATTACCGATGTGCCTTGAGCTATTAATGGATATACGTTTTCACGGATACAAATTATACTCCCGTTTTAACATAGCTACTTCACATTTGACATCGGTTCAGATTACATCCCTTGAACACCGTTTCTGTGGCCCCCGCTGTGAACTTGCGTCATTTTGGAGGACGGTATACATAGAACACACCACCAGAGGGCGCTCTGTACATGCTGCACCACCAGGCTCCTCCCTCTTTTTCCCATTGATGGCACACTTCCTCTATTAAGATTTATTATTGGTGAGTTTTTGGTAATATTTGGTAAGGAAAAGATACAGTTTTTCTTCTGCTTTACTTTGTTCTTGTTTTTCACAAAATTTAAAGCAAGTACTTATGGTGTGTGTGACTTCCGCCTTCCATGTCGTCGCCAGCATCAATGGGGCATCCTGCTCCTCGCACTCGGGCACCAAATACTCTTAAGGAAATACGTGGCTTCGTTTGTTTTCTCAACTGTCATTTTTCTGATTTGCTTATTTATTAACTATTGGTTGTTGACGCTGAAGACTAGCCCAGTGATTCTCAGTTTCTCTGTCGAGACACGGGTCTGGACTCTAGGTGGCTTGTCGAAGGACCAGCACATCTGGACAGAGCCTGTGTGTGGAGGGATGGCGAGGCGTTGGCTGAGTTCGCGCCCTGTGGCCAGCCCTCGATGCACACCTCGCCTCTGGGGGGCACACTCCTGAGGGCCATTCCCAGGTCTGCAAATTCTTTGATGCGTTTCATGTTGCGTGGAGAAACCAGATGTCAGTTCCTTTTGGGGGGAACCTGCAAATGTATAACGTGATGAGTGCTCCTGGTCACCCTCACTGTTGGGAGCTTACACAATGCTTTTAGAGCATCTACTACCGGCCTATGATACGGAATAAAGGCAGTTTGAGGATTGTGTGACAATATCCACCCCTTCAACCGTTTGTAAGGGTGCAGCTCAGTGGCACTAAATCCACTCCCAGCGTGGTGTGCGATCACCACTGTCTGTGCCCAGAGCTTTCCCTTCACCCCGACAGAAATTCCGCACCTACTGAACAGCCGCTCCTCCCCTCTCCTCCCGGTGCCCGATGACCTCGAATCTACTCCTTGCCTCTGAGCATCTGCGTGCTGTAGGTACCTCATTTCAGTGCAGTCGTTCAATGTGGGTCCTTCTGTGTCTGGCTTATTGCACTTAGCACAATTCATGGCTCATCCAGTGTATGTGCCTACGGCAGTTTGTCCGTCCGTCTATGGACATCTGGCTGTTGTGCACAGAGCTATGAATGTGTGTACGTTGCACATTTGAGTTCCTGTCTTTAGTTCTTTTAGATATATGCCCTAAATTGCTGGGTCACATGATAATTCTGTGTTTAGCCTTATGTTTTCCACAGTGGCTGGACCATCTCCCGTTCCCACCAGCAGTGTGTGAGCTCATCTGCACAGCCTCCCAGCACTTTGATGTGCCCTTCACGCTGCAGCTGTCTCAGTGGACGTGAAGTGGGACTTCGTGGTCTAGATTTGTGTTTCCCTAACAACAAATGATGTTGAGCTCCTTTTCATGTGCTTGCTGGTTATTTCTTGAAAGTTTGCCTGTTCAAGTCCTTGCCCATTAAAAACTGTGGGTCATGTGTTTTTGTTGTCGAGTTGTAAGAGTTCTTTCTGCATTGTGGACACTAGACTCCGCATGAATATTTGTATTACACTTCACAGCCACTTTATCAATCATTATTTAAGTTTTTCAGTGCCACATTTTAAAGCCATGTGAATATTTTCTTCATCATTCCCATACTGTTGAATACTTACGTGTTTTCACTTTTCCATTATAAATCATATTTTATTGTTTTTTTTTTAGATAACTTTTTGTTTTGCATAGACCTTTCCCCACATCAGATGAATCCCTTATGAGGTATGTTGGGCATAATGATAAAATTGGGATTTATATTTTCTAATCCTTAAATATTATTCTAGATTTATTTATACATTAATAAAAGTACATATATACTTCTGACATAAATAGGGCTATGTATCCCTTATTATACAATATTATACAATATTTCTTTTTTAAAAATTTATTTTAACTGTTGTTCAGGGACAGTTTTCTGCCTTTCACTCCCACCCCAGCCCACCCCCTACAATATTTCTTACTTAAACGACCCCAGGTACAGAGAAACCCTGCATTTGACGGGGTTCGCGGCTCTCCACCATCTTACGCATATTAGCTGTCCGTTGTATTTATCTTGAAATTATGTCTTCATTTCACTATGCTTTTCCTCCAGTAAATGTTTCAGAAAGCCAATGGTGGTGACTAGGGCTCGACAACCAGGTTGTGGGGGCTCCTGCAGGCACAGCCGGGGACCGAGGGCCCTGCGGACGTGCTCACCCTTTAGGGCCTCACACACACACACACACACACACACACACACACACACACACACGCAGGTGCGGAGGGTTGCTGGCAGGCAGAGACAGCCTGGTTCTTGTTTTGCTCACGTCCCCACCGAGGTGCAGACCCTCCTTGTGCCTTGCACAGGGGGCGGCAGGGCTCCTGCTCAGTAGGTGGTTGGAGGTGCTCCTAGGAGGCCGCTCATGGTCAGACCCTCCAGGGACCCGTTTTCTTGATTGTTACCTTTAACCTTGAAGGGATTCGCGGTGTGTTTGCGATCACAGCACAATGAGAGCACCGACTCACGTGCTGCTGGAGTCCCGGCCCCTTGTCAGCAGCACGTTTACTGTCTGGAAGGTTAGGGGGCAACCTCCCACAGCTCAGGAAGGGCGAGTGTCCTCGGTCACCTTCCCAACAGCCCCCCACACAGGGCGGAGCTTCACCCTCGATCTGGACTTGGCAAAGGGAGGTGTTTTCTTTCCATGGAGGACGGGACCAGACCTTTCCTGGTCACCTGTATGTGCCTAGGACCCACCATGGCCCTCCATCCCTTGGGAAGTTGGTCGGGGTGATTTCCTGGGCTCAGTTCCTCCCCACCAGGGTGGCCGGAGGTACCGCTCGGTGGACACTTGTCCTGTTCTCTGAAGCGACCTGCAGTTCAGAGCAACACCCGGGCCTTTGGAAGCTGATGGGACACAGTACGGCCTGGAGGGGGGCATGTGGGGTGTCCTCTGCACCCCCTCTAGGTACTGGATCCCACACCAAACTAAGAGGCAGCAGAGCCTGGGAAGGAGATCGAGGGCAGTGTCTACAAAGCTCACCCCCAACCTGAGGTCCACCTTAAGGCACGGCCCCCTCCCCACCCTCTGTCACCTGATATGATCGGGGAGCCGTGAGACAACTGACACACCTGAGGCTCAGCAGAGCCCAGGCTGGGCGCCAGGGACGCTCCTTGGCAGTCTCCTCGCTGCTGCGTCAGGGAGAAGTCTGTGTCCCAGGGGAAGGGACAAGTACACGCGGTGGGGGCCCCTGCTTTGTACCAGGGACCCCAGTCTCCTTTTCACGTCTGGGCCCCACCTGGCACCGGTCCCAAGATTTGCTCCTGAGATCAGTTAAATGAGACGCAGATGAGCAGACAAAGCTGATCCCCAGGCTCAGGGGGAGGCAGATGCCAGCCTGCAGGCTGTCCCCGCTGGCCGGCCTGCCAGGGGCCTGAGTCCCTCAGAGGAGGGTGGGTGTGGAGTGATTAGGGACAGATGAGGGAGGGGAGGACTGAGATGGGACAACCAGAAGTCAGGCCGGCAGGACGCTGAGGGCCAGAGGAAGGTTCCTGAAGGCCCGGGGGCTGGCTGTGGGGAGGAGAAGAGAGCACATGAGGCTGACACAGAGCTCTGCAGGGGAGGGGGGCGGGGGGGCAGCTGGGAGGTCAGGGCGCCTGAGGGGGCAGTGGGCAGCCCAGGAGGCTCTGGAAGGACCAGCTGGGCTGTAACAAGCCAGGCCAATAAATAGGGAAATACAACTTCTGGGTTTTCTTTGTTTCATTCTTTTTTCCCCCCTCTTGACAACTTAGAAAGTTGCTTTTAAAAACTATTTCATCTCTGTTGAACTCAGGTAAGAGACAGTCCAGAGGCTGGTGCAGGAGAGGGGGAGGGGGCTCAGCCTTGACCCTCCCAGCCCCCTGCTGTCTCCTGGGAGAAAGTGGTGGCCAGGCCCCCTCCACACACCTGTGAAGTGCTGCAGTGGGAGGTCGCACCTGTCCAGCAGCCCGCCTCTGTGCTGGACAGCGCTGGCTGGTGTGTGCACCTACACCCTCCACCGCCTCCCTCCTTAGCCTGCAAGCCTGGCTCAGGTGGAGGCCCCACCTCCACCCCCCACTGGCCCTCAGTGGGGTCGTCTTCTCGAGTTTCTGGTAATTGTATCAGGGCTGCATCATGTTGCTAAAGCTACAGATACCATCTCCCTAAGGGTAACTCTTCCCTGCCAGAGCCTCCTGAGGCTGGACCCACGCACAGAGGAGGGACACAGGGGAATGGGATGAGTTTGGGTGTGAGGGTCTGTTAGGCAGAAGCAGGTTGGCTGGGATGCCAGAACAATGATGAGGCACACTGCCATTTACCACTGGAGCCTATGGCACATGGGGGCCAGGAGCTGGGTGAGGGTCCTGGAGAGGCCCCCCAAGTTCCTGGAGCTGTTGTTGATTGTCTTCTGATAGCTCCAGCTCGGCCCTACTGACAAACCCCCAATCCTGGGCGCAGACACAGAGAGCCACCTCTTCCTAGGCCAGGATGAGCGACAGGCCCTCGGCACAGGTCCACCTTAACTGGGCAACCCTCTGGGCGGGGCGCAACCCTGATGCCATCTGCGCAGACGGTCTGGGTGCAGGACAGGCTTGCATGCGGCTCGCACAGCTTCCAGCCTACTGCCCTGGCTCCTCACGCCGGGTCTGCAGCCCAGCACCATGATCCAGGGGGCCTCAGATCCTGATGGCTCCAGCTGGGGCTGGGGCTGGGATGGGGATGGGGACGATGACTGGGACAGTGCAGTGCTCACCCTGCTGGCGCTGGCTGTCGTGGCTGCCACAGCACTAGCCTTGCACTGGTTTGGCTCTGGGCAGGACCAGGAGGCAGCAGGACCCGCATCCACAGGCCCCCGAGCCCAGCCTTCTCAGGCAGGAGGAGCTGGGCCAGCCCTGCCTCCAAAAGTCAAGGTCAGTGGTGGCGTCGAGGGACATAACTCAGGGCTGAGGAAGTCAGGCCCTCCAGGACTCGGCCAAGGGAGTCCAGCTGCAGCAGGCGTCCGGGACCACCGCCTTCCGGGACGTGGAGGTCTGACCACCACAGCTGCACCTCCACTCAAGACACTTGGCGAGGTGGCCAGTGCGGAGGCCTCAGGACAGCAGCATGGTAACTCTACCCCAGAAGTCCCCCGAAGTGAAGCAAAGGAGCACCTCAGCCCAGGTGCTGCCCTCCTGGGTAGGAGCAAAGTAGGGGGGGCGCCTGCCCCTCTCCTCATACACTTCACTCCCCGGAGTCCAGACATTGAAGTGGAGGCACAGGCGGAGGCAGGAGGTGACCATGCCAAGGCACTGGCTCCCCAGGCCCCAGCCCACACAGTGGAACAGGACACCAGCTCCTGGAAACAAGGAGTGGGGCCGTCCCGCTCAGCGGGGAGAGGTTCAGGCAGTCAGCGGTGGCAAGCCGGTGACAGCTCAGGAGACAGAACCTGCCGCTCCCCAAAGCTGGACCCCCGACGCCTGGGCGCTGTGGTGAGTGTGTGGGATGCGGTGGATGCGGCCAGCAGCCTCTCTGCAGGTCCCCAGAGGCCCCCTCGTCCCCAGGAGCTGCCACCACCAGACTCTGTGCAGACTGGGCACCTGACAGACGGCTCGGAGAGGGGATGCAAGAAAAGCGGCCCCCAACCAGCCCCAGTTTTAGCTCTGGATTCAGGGGCCAAAACTGGTGAGAGCAGTGAGGCTGGGCCTGGGGCCCTCAGGGAGTTTCAGGGGTCCCCACCCTCAGTGGAAGGTTGGCCCTGGGCCAGGAGGGAGGTCCTTGTCACCAGGAGCTTCAACCAGACCTCAGGCTCCATGGGCCCGTGGCCAGAGGAGCAGCAGTGGGGACACCCACTCTTGTCCCAAGGACAGGAGACGACAGTGGCCTCCATCGTGGAAAAGGCTGAGGTCTCTGGAGACCACTCTTTCTTCAGCTCAGGGCCAGGTAGGACAGAAAAGCAAGAGGCTCACAGTGTTGGAAAAGGGGGAGGAACTCAGAGAGGCCAGGGGGCACTGAGCAGAGGGCAGGGTGCTGGTGGTCTGGACACAGGGAAGCCAGCCACAGACAGCCTCAGCTGTGCCCCCTGTCCATTGCCCTCAGCCACCACCCCCCTACGTACCAGTGAGCCCACCTCACCTTCAGCTAACTCAACAGAAGCACATCCCCAAGACCTCTTACCTGCACACCCAGCTCCAGTTGCATCCCCAGCTCCAGCTGCAGCCCCAGCTAGAGCTCCAGCCCTAGCCCCAGTTGCACCCTCAGCTGCAGCTTCTTCCCCACCTGCAGCCCCAGTTGCAGCTGCAGCCCCAGCCTTAGCTGCAGCTTCAGCCCCAGCCCTAGTACCAACTGCATCCCCAGCTTCAGCTGTAGCTTCAACTCCAGCAACATTCTCAGCCCCAACTGCAGCTTCAGCCCCAGCCCCAGTTGCAGCCCCAGTACCAACTGCACCCCCAGCCTCAGCTAAATCCTCAGCCCCAGCTGCAGCCTCAGCCACTACTTCGGCCCCAGCTCCAGCCTCAACCCCAGCTGCAGCCTCAGCCGCAACTTCGGCCCCAGTCCCAGCTGCAGCCTCTGCTGCAACTTCAACCCCAGCTACAGCCACAGCCCCAGTACCAACTGCACCCCCAGCCTCAGCTAAATCCTCAGCCCCAGCTGCAGCCTCAGCCACAACTTCGGCCCCAGCCCCAGCCACAGCCCCAGTTGCAGCCCCAGTACCAACTGCACCCCCAGCCTCAGCTAAATCCTCAGCCCCAGCTGCAGCCTCAGCCACAACTTTGGCCCCAGCCCCAGCCACAGCCCCAGCCACAGCCCCAGTTGCAGCCCCAGTACCAACTGCACCCCCAGCCTCAGCTAAATCCTCAGCCCCAGCTGCAGCCTCAGCCACAACTTCGGCCCCAGCCCCAGCCCCAGCCCCAGTTGCAGCCCCAGTACCAACTGCACCCCCAGCCTCAGCTAAATCCTCAGCCCCAGCTGCAGCCTCAGCTGCAACTTCGGCCCCAGCCCCAGCTGCAGCCTCAGCCTCAACTTCGGCTGTAGCCGCAGCCCCAGCCCCAGGTGCAGCCTCAGTTGCAGCCCCAGTACCAACTGCACCCCCAGCCTCAGCTAAATCCTCAGCCCCAGCTGCAGCCTCAGCCACTACTTCGGCCCCAGCCCCGGCCCCCGTTGCAGCCTCTGCCACAACTTCGGACCCAGTCCCAGCTGCAGCCTCTGCTGCAACTTTGGCCCCAGCCCCAGCTCCTGCCCCAGCCCCAGCTGCAGCGCCTGCCCCAGTCCCAGCTTCAGCCCCTGCCCCAGCTGCAGCTCCTCCTCCACCTGTAGCCCCAGTCCCAGCTGCAACCCCAGCTCCAGCCCCAGCTACATGCCAAGCCCCAGCCCCAGCTGCAACCTCTGCCCCCACTAGTAACTCAATGCCTGCATGTCAGGAGCTTTGTGTGGCTATCTGCAAGGGCAACCAGGAGGGGCAGATCTCAACGAGCTGGGGAAACCTTATTTCAATGGTTCTCAAGAGTCACCCCTTCCCCAGGCAAGAGAAGCCTCAAGGGATGGCCCAAAGGGCAGCTCTGGAGAGCTCTGGAGAGCCTAGCACTCCTACAGACTTGGAGAATATGAAGTCTGGTTCTCCCTCTGAAAGGGCCACTCCGAGTCTCAAGGACAGGCAGGACTTCCCAGCTGAGATGGTCACAGAGGCAGGCACAGGGGGCCTGGCTGAGGCTGGATGTCAGCCACAGCAGAGAAGCTCCGAGATGAACGAGGCTACAGTGCCCAAGGCCCCGTCGCAGCTGCCTGAAAAGATGAAGCCTGGCCCTACGTCTTCCCCCACTGCCAAGGGAGACCCACAGCCTGTCCCCAGGCCACGGAAACGCAGCATGTGCGAAATAGAAACGGCAGAGAGCTCTGAGCGGGTCAGCCAGGCGGCCCCAGGACAGGGGCCAGGGGAGAGGCCCAGCCCTGTAAGCGGCAGGGGTGTCTTCACAGAGAAACAGAAAGAGGCCCACAAGCTCATGGTGTTTCTGCAGAAGCCTGGGAGCTGGGGGGTGGTGGAGGGGCCCCGGAAGCCCAGCTCTCTGGCCCGGGAGGCTGCCTTGGCAGCAGCTCTGCAGCGGCGGGTGGACCTGGGCAGCTGCCTTGACGTACTAGCTTTTGCCCAGCGGCATGGGAAGACCAGCCTGGCCCAAGAGACCTATGCCTTGATGAGTGACAATCTGCTGCACGTGCTGGGGGACCCAAACCTTTACCGGCAGTTGAGTGGGACTGACCGAGAGCGCATCCTGAACCTTCGGACTGGCAGGGGCCAGGCCGTGCTGGGGGTCCTCGTGCTGCCCAGCCTCTACCAGGTGGGCCGCTCAGGGCTCACAAGGGGCCCTCACATGGAGGAGGCTCCTGCCGTGGGTCCTGCGCCCCTCCCTCCTCCATCACATCTGCACATGTTCAACCCCCAGGAGAACACATGGCGGCTCCTGACCCAGGTGCCGGAGGAGGTCCCGCTGCGGGGCTGTGGTCTGTGCACCATGTACAACTACCTGTTTCTGGCGGGTGGCATCCGTGGCTCTGGAGCCAAAGCTGTCTGTTCCAACGAAGTCTTTTGCTACAACCCATTGACCAATATCTGGAGCCAGGTGCGGCCCATGCAGCAGGCCCGGGCCCAGCTCAAACTGGTGGCCCTGGATGGGCTGCTGTACGCCATTGGGGGCGAGTGCTTGTACAGCATGGAGTGCTATGACCCCCGCACAGACACCTGGACCTCGCGTGCGCCCCTCCCTGCAGGCACCTTCCCTGTGGCACATGAGGCTGTGGCCTGCCGTGGTGACATCTACGTCACTGGGGGCCACCTCTTCTACCGCTTGCTCAGATACAGCCCTGTGAAGGATGCGTGGGACGAGTGCCCCTACAGTGCCAGCCACAGGCGTTCCAGCGACATGGTGGCACTGGGGGGCTTCCTCTACCGCTTTGACCTGCTGCGTGGTGTGGGTGCTGCTGTGATGCGCTACAACACGGTGACGGGCTCCTGGAGCCGAGCTGCCCCCCTGCCCCTGCCAGACCCCGTCCCGCTCCACTGCACTGTGCTGGGCAACACCATCTACTGTCTCAACCACCAGGTCACTGCCACCTTCACAGTCTCCGAGGGGACTGCCCAGTTCCAGGCCAAGGAGCTGCAGCCCTTTCCCCTGGGGAGTAAAGGGGTCCTCTGTCCATTCATCCTGACTCTGCCCCCGGAGGACCCGCTGCAGACTGCCCTCTGAGCTACTTGGCACCAGGACTGCAGCTGCTGACCGTGGTGGGGCTCTGAGGCCAGAGGGCACAGGGAGGTGGCCACTCTTCTTTCTGGGACAACTTCCCTTTTCTGTTATAAGCCTCATGTTTTCCCTCCCCACTTCCCCTCCTGTGAGACAGCCCAGGCCCCCTGAACCTGTGAGTTGGTCACTGGCTGTCTCTACCACACCCGTGCCCTTTTGCCTGTATGAATGATTCCTGGCCCCAATGCCTCAGCTCACTCACACAAACCCTCCTAAAGACAGTGGGCTCCCATGGCCAGGTTCCCATCACAGCACCAACCACACTGCCTGCATCCCCAAGGACCTGGACTTGGCCAGCTGAGGAGTCAGCAACTGCTCAGCCGAGGAAGGAGATGGCTTCCCTAGGGTTCAAAGCTAGGCAAGGGGCCCATGAGGGGCTGGGAAGAGGGAAGAGGAGCAAAGAAGCCCCTGGGAAAACATCCTTGCATCTGGGATTTTCTGCCCGTCCTGAGGCCTTGGGGAGCCTGGCATGGCCATCCCCAGAAACAACTCCTAGTTCTCCTTTGTCAGGTTGGTCTTCGAGGGCCCGGAACCCTTGTCTCTGACCCTGCTCTGTTGTCCGCAATGCCTGCCCATTACCCAAGCCCAGGCCTGGCCTGGATCCCTGGGTCTCATGCTCTTGTGCAGCCTGTGGGGTCTCTCCCACACGCTCAGTCTCTCCACTTCCCACCAACCCCCTTCTTAAATGGGACCTGGGCTGCACCGTAGCTCTGCCTCTCATTAGCTGTGTGGACTTGGGCAAGACACCTAACTTTGTGTTCTCACCTGTGATGTGGGGACAATGGACATGTCGCTCATGAGAACTGTGAGAACACAGGTCACATATATGAGCACCTGGCGCAGCCCAAGATACATAACAATAGTGTTCCCTTGACCCACTTTGGAACCCTCCACAGGAAGGTAAATAAATCTGAATTTGGCTGCCCATCCCACCCTCTGACCTGGTTTGTCCCCAACTGTCCTTTTTTCTTTTCTTTCTGTGCTTGGCACTAAATACACTTCACTCACTGGCAGCACCGGCATCTCACACTTCCTGTGTTTTGTTTGTGGAGGAGAGGGGCAGACAGGAATCATCAGGTTGTGCTTGAAAATAAGTTTATAGAGAAACAAGTGCCGTGCACACAGCTGTATATTTGGGTTGCTGTTCTCCACCAGGCAGAGAAGGCTCCACACCCCAGTGGCTCAGCACATAGGCAGACAGCGGCCTGGCGGCAGTGGGGTGGGGGCCTACTGTGTGCGCTTGGTCTCACTGAGCAGCTCTTGCCAGTTCTTCTCCATCTCTTCCTTGCAGTTGAGGAAGGCGTCCTCCAGCCGGCGCATGGCCTCTGCCAGCGTGGGGTTGGTGCGTATCACCACCATGTCATAGGCCATCCATGTGGCCTGCACTGCAACAACCAGACAGGCTCTGGTCAGGCAACAGAGTGGGGCTGTGTCCCTGAAGCACCCCGGGGGCCCATACCTGGCTGAGTCACCCAATTATTCTATGGAGAGAAGCTGGTCAGATACTTGTTACAGGGCTCACAAAACCCCCTATTAAAATGCCTCCCTGCACAGAGCTCCCCTCATCTCAGAAGCCTTACCTCCTGGGTGCATCAGCCTATGACACTACAAGCCTGGAGACCATTCTGCTAGAAAATGCTAGGAAAGATTAGAGTAAACACAGGTCCCTACCTGTCCACAGCCCACAGCTAGTGGGTGCAAGCAGGCCTCAAGGAGTGATGACACCCACCAAGCTCAACTTCGTGCTCAGGTAGGGCTGACCACTTCCTTCTGCAAGCCCTGAGCCTCAGGTGGTCGTGTTCAGTGGTCTGGGAAGCCTGTCCACTTCCACCCGGGCACCTCCAGGCTGTCATTAAGGCCAGACCAGGGCTTCTCTTCCGGTAAGGCTTTCTGAATCCATGTTAGGTGTCCTCTGCTGCTCTCCACCACACTGCCCAAGTCTCTTGTCCCTTCCCTTCGAGGGCAACTGGACAGCAGTGTCCCCTGGGCCTACAGGTAAACGCGTGCTGCTTGCACTGAAACCCCACGTCCACACCCTTCCCTCTGCAGCCCCCACTCCATTGCTATGGCTCTGCCTTCTAGAACTGCAAAAAACAAAGGTCCTAGCCCTTCTGCATGACAGGGAGAAGCTGTTAGACAAGGTGTGTACAATATCTCAACACAGAGAAGGCCAGCAATCCTCAAACTTCGGGAAGCATGGCAGTCACCCTACGGAGCAGCTGGAGCTCAGATGGAGTCAGACTTTCCTCCAGCTCAGCACTTGACAGCTGTGTGACCTACAGCAGTGACTCAGAATTGCTACCCTTGACCTTCCATCTGTCAGGGACAGAGAGCATCCTAATCTCAAACTCTTACTACAAGTAATTGAGGTATGTAGGGCAAAGGGTTAGGGTAGGTAAGAAATCACAAAGCAGAGGAAAACACAACTCACAGAAATGGATTTCACATAAACCTACACACAGCTGGGATTCCAGCTCTAAGCTTCCTAAGGCCAAAGCACAAAAGAAAACATGCTTAGTTAAAAAAAACTCAGTGACAATAAAATAAAAAGAAGTCCATTGTGTAAGACACTTCTATCCTGAGAAAAAATTGTCCTATAGCTATATTTTGTGAGAAGTGTAATGCAGCTGAAAACACACTTCATTATGATGACTATGAGTCCTTGGCTTAAACACAAGGCGAAAGAAAAAGCTGGTAGCACAGCTCGGAAGCATAGTTCAGAAAAGGCAATTCAGCGATACATCAAAACACTGTAGTAAGCGCATAGCCCTCTTCTGATTGATCTGAGGAAAAATATGTAGCACACGTAGAACAGGAAGGACTCAATCACCAGACATCCTCCAGCCATATATGCCTCTTGAGCTTTTCCTTCCTTCATCATTTGTTGAAGGCCTTCTTTGTGCAGCACCTTCCTAAGGCAGCCCTGTGACAGAGCAGTAGGCAGGAGAGATGCTCCCCTACCCTCAGGGAATGTCTATGTCAGCTGCATTGGGAGGAGACATAAACATACGGGACAATTCCAAATGTGAGAGGTGCTGTGAAGGAAATAAGCAGTTATGTTGTTGACAGGGAGATGGGGTGGGAGGAGCCTTATTACAGACCAGGTGGTGAGGGAAGGCCCCCTCCATGGATTTGTGGTATAGTCTGCAGAGTGGCGAAGCCAAGGTCATAATCTGGGAAGGGGCTTGAACAGCAAAAGTTCTGAGAGGCTAATCAAGGCTCGCCCTGTACCGATCGACAACCTGCTGGGTAGGAACAAGATCCTCACACAGAAATTAAGAAAAAATGGTTAAGATGTGCACTATGAGCCGTGAGGACTAAGGAGGGCTCCTGGTAGCTATCCGGGCCGAAAAAAGAAAGAAAGAAAGAAAAAACCCGAGCCTAGCAATCATTTCTGCCCAGGTCTCTTCCTTTAAGCCTCCCCTAAGCTTCGGCACTGCTTCCGGCGGGCCTAGCAATCCTTAAAGGGGAGGCCCTGGGATCCTGTCTCAACCAATAGCGCTGAGGCTTTCCCCCTGGGAACTACCCAGCTGTACCCAATTGGAGCAGCTGTATTCTGACCAATCGGGGGCCAGGGGCGGGGACTTCCGTCCTACGTCAACCTGTATCTTCCAGCAAGCGCTTTCCACTAAAGAGAGACAGACGGCTAGGTTTTGGAGCTGGTGCCTGAGCTGAAACGCAAAGATGACTCCTGACCCAGCAGCGCCATGCTGTTTTCACACGTTTCCGCGGCGTTGCTATAGCACGAGCTGCTCACAGCAGTGCTGTTTTCATAGCTATGCTGTATTGCTGTGGAGCTGTTTGTACTAAATAAAGTTTCCTTTTCCACTGCACCCCAAATCGGCGTTTGATTGGTGACAGTGACCATTGAGGGATAGCACCTAGACACAAAATTTAGTAAAGGATGTGGATAAAGTGTCCCAAAACTCTAGGAAATGGGAGAACTAACTAGTGATGCAGTAAGTGGATTTGCCTTGAGAGCGTGGGAAGTAGAAATGCATGACGGAGAGCACAGCGAATGAAACAAGAGCGTCAGCCAGCCAGGTGACAGAGGATGATGACAAGCCTGGACGTCACAGTGCGCAGGCTAATTTACATCATTGGAAAAAGAGACCAAGCAACATTTTAAAAATGTTAATGATGAAGTTCTACCTCCCCAAACCTCAGGTCCCAGGTAATCTGACAGATGAGTTCTTACCAAATTTTGAAGAACAGTTAATGCTTATGTAATACAAGTGATTCCAGAAATTAGGAAAGGAGGGAAGACTAGTAACCTCACTATATGGACTGGTGCAACTTTTACAGAAAAGTATTTTATAGAAGCATTTTATTTATATTTGTTGTAGAACATCTGAGAGTAGAGATAAAAATAAAAACATAATTTTCTCTAAGCTGGTTTATTCTAAAACCAAAGACCATATGAGGAAAATTATAGGTTTTACATGAATATAGATGTGAAATCCTAACTATAACATGAGCTAATCAAATGTAACAGTGTTAAGATAATATGTTATGATTGAGCAGAGTTTGTAAAGGAAATTCAAGGATGTCTGAATATCAGAAAACCAATCACTATAATTAACTGCAGTAATAAAAAGAAGGAAATCATAAGAATATCTCACTTAATACAAAAGAGGCAGTTAAAAAAGTTTACCTCTTTTTAATTTTAAACAATCAAACTCTAACAATTTAGGAATAGAAGGAGACATCTTTTATTCACCAAAGGCAACACACCAAAAACTTACAGTAAACATTATACATAATAGAGAAACTGTGGATACATTCCCTATAAGACTGGTATCAAAAAAGGATACCTCTAATAATGTGACTGGTATTAGAGATGCTGGCAAATGGGATAGAAAAAAAGAAGTAAATGGTGTAAGAATTGGAAGGTATACGAAAACTATCAGTTTTTGTAAATTGTAAAAATGGACATGAAAGAATAAAGGTCTAATAACTAAGTCAATCTTTAAAAAAAAGTTAAAAATGGGAAACAAGCCCTCGATATATTAGATATCCAGACAATTTATAAATCCCTATTTTGAAAATAGTATGGTACAGACAAATAAACCAATGGAAGAAAGTAGTAAGCTCAGAGATAAACCTAAGAATATATCGAAATTTAGTTCATGATGAAATAATATAAAAAATCAATGAAAAACGACAGTGTACTCCAGCTGTATTAAAGATATAAATGTGAAAGATGAAATAACACAGATCAAAATTTAGCACTAGAATGTCTCCCTCTCACTTAGACAAGAAAGATAAACTCCTTAGCTTGGAATTGTGGACACTTCTAACCTTGCAGCCTCTTCTTTGTTTGGCCTACTACCTTGTGAACCCTGCGCTAATCTGGCTCCTTGACTACCCCAGGCTTTCCCTCATGACATGGGGCTTTGACCACTTCTTCTGCTGGATGGCCCTCCTCTCCACCCGCTACACGTCCACTCATCTGCCCAATCTCTATGCCTTTCCTAATGCTCTGTGCAGAGCCTCTCCTGCCCCCCCACACAGCCTCTCTTTTTCCTCTGCCCCCTTCCCATTACTTGATATACTACATTAGCATTTGCCAGATTTTTATTTTAATGTAAAATTAACATGTTTTAATTTTAATTCATATATTTAAATTATAATTAGTGATGTTGATGTCTGTTTCTGGCTTCCACCCACTTCTATAATGAATGAGCACCTCTTCAACTTTATATTCCTAGAATAACACAGAGTAGATGCTCAGTAAATGCTGTTAAATAGAATTTTTAAAAAGATTTTATTCATTTATTTTTAGAGGGGGAGGGAAGGAGAGCGGGAGAGAAATATCAATGTATGGTTGCCTCTTGTGTGTCCTCCACTGGGAACTGGCCTGCAACCCAGGCATGTGCCCTGACTGGGAATCCAACCGTGATTGTCTGCTTCACAGGCCTGTGCTCAATCCACTGAGCTACACCAGCCAGGGCTGTTAAATAGAATATTTAATTAAATGGGAGAAATTATATAGCTTATAGAGAAAATGAATCACAAAAGTCTTTTAAAGTGTAGCTTTAAAAAATATAAAAAATTTGGCCTGGCTGGTGTGGCTCAGTGGATTGAGCACCAGCTTCCGAAGCAAAGGGACACTGGTTCAATTCCCAGTCAGGGCACAGACCTGGGTTGTGTGAGGGTTGGGCCAGGTCCCCCGTAGGGGGCGTGTGAGAGGCAACCACACACTGAGGTTTCTCTCCTTTTCTTTCTGCCTCCCCTTCTCTAAAAATAAATAAATAAAACCTCTTAAAAATATAAAAAATTTTCGAGTACACAGGCAAAAATATCGCAAACATTTCTAGATAGAAATTTTCTGAAGCATGTCTCAGAAATATTTCTGAAAGTAATAAACGGAGGTTATTTTCAAATTAATGTCTGTAAAAATATTTTTTCATTTGAATAGAGTATGCATCCTTTCTAAAATTTGTTTTACATTATGATTTTCTCTAGCAAAACTTAGGCTCATAAGTTATAAGAATTACACATATTGTTATAATTTGTAAAGAGCCAATTAAATAAACTATAATGATATTACTGCCTCTGCTGGTTACCACTTAGTGGAAACGTGGAATAAAAGAGCAGGCTAGTATCTTGCAAAAACGGCGAAATTTGTTCAAGCCTACTGCCGCGCCACACCCCCGAGCCGCGCCTCCCCGCCCCCGAGCCTCTCCCGTCTCTGCACCGGGGACCGAATCGCGGGCGAGCGCGCCAATTCTGCCCGCAGGCGCCCCGTTGGCCCGCGCGCCGCGCCCAGGCGCCGTCTCCGCCCTCAGTCGGGCAGCAGCCCCGCCGCGGAAGGAAGGTGCAGACGCGCGGGGCGACCAGAAGGCAGTTCGCGGCGGCGCTCGGGGCGGGGAGTCAAACTCCGGGCGCACGAGCGAGCCCGGACGCGGGCCCGGGCCGGGGGGGGCGGCCTACCGGAGATCTTCTCCATCTCCTCCAGGACCTTCTCCAGGTCCTTGTTCAGGTCCGACAGCATCCTCAGCATGTCGTCGTAGCTCCTCTCCCCGGGCTCCGCGGCGGCCATCTGGGCGGGGTGCGCAGGGAGGAGCGGCCGTGACGCCCGCCCGCCGACCTCTCGCCGGCCCCGGCTCCTCGGCCCCCTCCCCCACCCGGGAGGCCCCGCCGCCCCCGCCGGGACCTCGGAACCCCTCCGGCCCCGTCTCCCGCCCTAGGGGGTCACCGAAACCGACCGACCGCGTGTGTCCCTGGAGTGAACACGTAACCCACCGCGTGTGAGTCAGGACCCAGGGCCGGGGCGCCGCCCGTGAACGGCCCTGCTCTTGCGAGGGGCCGGGGAGGTGACCCGGGTGAGGGGTGGGGGGTTGGGCGCGAGGCGCTGGGCACCGGGGTCGGGCGCACCAGGGCCTGGAACCCTCAGGCGGGTGGCTGCCCTCGCTCACCTGCTGCTCTGCCAGGGCTCGGCCCACGGGCTCCGGACTCGGTCAGCTCCTCCGCCCTCTCAGGGCTGGGGCCTGAGGAGGCTTCTTTGAGGGAAGCCCCGCCCCTTTCTGTTACCAGACCGGTCCCCTCATTGGCTGGTATTCTTGGAGCGCGAGGGGTGGGGCTGTGAGCGCGTGGCTGCACCAACCCGGCAGGGCAGGATGCAGACCTCGAGGCCTCATTGGCTAGTCTCCAGCGGAAAAGGTGGAGCCATCCCAGGCCGCTCCAGGGCAGGAGACGTTTTCACCAGTGTGCAAAGACAGCACCACCTTCACTATTATCCTTCCCACGTGATGGTGGAGGGAGACTCGCTTGGCTGGTAGACATGCAATAGAGTGTACACATGATGTGCTGTAGAACTGTGTACCTGATACCAGCTTTATTAAGCACTGTCATCCCGATAAATTCAAAATTTTTAAAAAGGTCCCAGAATGAAAACAAGTGGGCCTTGGTGGAGGAGGAGTGAGGCCGAGGGAGGGTGGAGCTGGGATGAGAGGGCACTCGTGTCCTGATTCTTGTGCTCCCCCTCTCGTCTCTTTGAGGGTGCGGCCCTGTGCCCAGGGCCTTGCCTGCCTGCTGCACCCTGGTGTCACTGTGTCTAGGGCAGCAGTTGGTACAGCAGGTGCTAACAAACATTTGTTGAATGAATAGCTGGATGCCTGAGCATTTGTGGTCTTCGTAACTACTACACGTTGCTGTCATTGTTGCATCTTGAGTCCTAACAGAGAAGGAAGCCGAGGCTCGGAGATGAAGTAGGTACGTGCCACTGGGAAGGGAGGCACTGCTTCCAGCCCAGGTCTGCCAGGTGCTGCTGGCCTCGGGGTAGTAGAAGCACAGATCCCAAGCAAGGGCAGGAAGAAAGCACTTGAGCTTAGAGAGGGTGCACATACAGCTGTGACCAGGAGGAGGCTGGAGGAGCTGTCTTTGTCTGGAGGGGGATGGGCCCCTTAGAAGGGCAGTAAGCAGAGCAGTGGTGTGGGAAAGAGGCCTCTCTGGCTGCTGGAGGGAAGATGGAGATGGAGCTGGCTGTTGCTGTTGTTTGGATGAATAATGATGGAGCAGTGGGCAGGGGAGGTGGTGGTCGTCATGGTGGAGGGAAGTAAAACTTGACCGGGCTTGTGATGTGGCCAAGTGAGGGAGAAAGTAGGAATGGGTTGGGATGGGTTAGTGGCTGGAGTGTGACACCAATGGCTGAGATGGGGAAGAGGAGGAGAGGCCAGTTCAGAAGGTTGTTAACTTCGTATTTTAACACTTGTTGGACATTCCTGATGAATCTGGGACCCGCTAAATCTCTCAGGGTTTCCGATCCTCAGTCCACTGATTGCAGAGCAGAAAAAACAGCTAGCTTTGAGCCAGACCATTCTGGGCACAGAGCCAGTCCCCACCTATCTACTGAAGAGGCTGCTGCCTGGACCACGCACCCTCCACCTTGGTTCTCAAGTTGTCCCTTCCCACCTGTGAGTCACCCTGCATACTTCTGCTCCCTCTGCCATTTGCTTGGACTGCCCAGAAAAGCATGAGTCAGAAATAACTCTAGTGGGCAATGAAGTTTGCCAGGCTGAGGAAGGGCACAGGACTCCAGACAGAAGATTCCGTGAAGGAACAGGCAAGGGATGGATGAGCCTACCAATTTCAGTGAGTGTGGTTGGGGCTCAGGGTTCTTGGGCAGAGGAGACCGAGAGACCAGCTGGGCTAGAATGTGACGGGCCTGGAGGTGGGCTTCACAAACATGCCGCAGGGCCCGAGCCCAGAAGAGTGGGCTCTCAAAGAGCCCACAGGTGTCAGTCTGGTCTGTCCGTGCCCTTGTGCGCCAAACTAGTCAACTGTTCACCAAACGTTTCCTTTATAACCTGGACACACAGCTAGACTCCATTTCCCAGCCTGTCTTGCAGTGTGAGTCCAGGCCAGTGGGATATAGATGGAAGTGCTCTGGGTCACTGCCAGGCCAGGCCCATGAGAGCCTCTCACGAATGACTCTCTGTCTTCCCTCACGTACCTGCTGGAGGCTGATGTCCGAGGCAACTTGGGAGTTAGCTGAGAAGGCCAGAGGCTCTGTCAGCATGTCTGCGAACAATGGTCTGGAGCGGACGGAGTTTCTCAGCCAAGTGAGCAGGAGTTAAACCTCCATCGAGATTTCAGGGCTTATCTGTTATGACTGCTAGCCTAACTGGTACGGCCCTGCAAACCCATGGGACACAAAGGGCTTGTTTGGGTCTGGTGGGTTGTCACCAGAAGTTTACACGCTGGTTGTGCATGATGGTTTCTCTTATCATAACCAAGGACAGATCAGATAACTTTGGCTGAATTTCAACATTAATCAAAAGCCAGTTGGGCCCTGGCTGGTGTGGCTCAGTGGACTGAGCACTGGCCTGTGAACCAAAGGGTCACAGGTTCATTCCCAGTCAGGACACATGCCTGGGTTGTGGGCCAGGTTCCCAGTCAGGGGTGCACAAGAGGCAACCACACATTTCTCTTTCTCCCTTCCCCTCTGAAAACAAACAAACAAACAAACAAATAAAATCTTTAAAAGAAAAAAAAAGGCAGCTGATAAAAACTCTGCTCACTGCTCTCCCAGGGCTGGGCAAGCCGATGTGTCTAGAAGGATACTTTCCCAGGGTAGGCTGTGCAGGCCCCCAGAGAGGCAGAAGTCTGTGAACATGCTCTCAAAAGCCCGAGGAAGCTGATGTGGAATGTAACGTTTGTCAGTAGATGTGCTTTTATAAGCCTTTCACAGAGACTCAGAAGAGGTTAAGTGCCTCTGCCCTGGAGTCCTTCCACGTGTTTTGGGGTTTAACTACCTTTAAAGCAGTATCAAGAGCCCGAATCTCATTAGCTTTCATATTTTCAGGAATCTATGAATATTTTTTATAGACACATCAAAGTCAACACTTAAAAATCTCACTTAATCACCCTGTCACCAACAGTAAAGAGTGTGGCTCATCTTTGCTGCCCTCCAGTCAGGTCTGTTGGACCTGCCTTGGACGTTCTCAGATCCTGATTCTCAGGTCCTTGGTTTACATCTCATCACTTCTCCCAACTCTGCCGCCACCGTGAGCAGTGCCCTCTGGCAGGTCTCTGTCCTCCCCATCCTTGCTGCACCCTACTTTCTTCTAATACCCCCGGGTTACCCATAGAGATCTCATTAAAATTTAGGACAGATTGTCACTTCTGCTCAAACCCGAGCGTCTTGCCCCACCACTCAGAGAAGTAGGAGTCTGTCCACAGGCCTCCAGTCTGTCCCTCACTGCAGCAGGCACTGCCCGCCTGGCAGCTCTGGCTCTGGCTGTCACCTGCAGAGTACCGAGGTCCAGAGTCACTCAAGCATGCAGCACTGGTAACGGAATGCCTACTTACACTCTCCGTGAGAATTATTTTTTGCTTACTTTTAGTGTTTTTTAGTAGAGAAGCTGGCCTGAAGGAAGCAGTACATGTTGCTCCAGACTACCCTGTGTGCCCTTCACGGACATGACCACCCGACGTCAGCCCCAGGTCCAGCTGCAGCACTCAGGGAAACCGAAACCCCGCAGGGTTGTACGCGTGCACAGGGGCCACAGAGGGTGCACAGAGGCACAGAGGAGGCGTGTGGCCTTGCTCCCCAGCAGACAAACACAAGTGACCCTAGAGGACAGGTGAAGGTTCTGAAGCAAGAATTTATTCCAGATGCACACAGTGGGTGTGCAGAGTGACCTCAGCAGAGACACGTTTTACAGCAGGCCACGGCCTCTCCTCTCCCAGCCCCAGCCCCACCATTGCCACCTCTCTGGCCTGAGCTGGGGCAGGGGTGAAGGGTCTCCTAATTCCCAAACAAAACACAGGAATCTAAGGGCTAAGAGAGAATTGCACAGCCATATGTTTATTAGTATCTAACAAGAAAAAAAGTCAAAATTCCCTCCCTGCTCCAACCCCATCTCCACCACGTGGGCCTCAGGGAGCACTGTTGGCCCGGGGAGCACCTGCTGCCAGTGCCGTCCTTGGAACCTGGGCATCTGTGCACGGTCACCCTGGTGCCTGTGAGCTGACCACAGGCCCATTCCTCCACACGTGGGGACAAAAGGGCAGCTGGCCTTTCTCTAGCCCTCAGCTGTCAGCCTTGAGAACTTGGAAAAGGTCAGCGATGTCCAGCAGAGCTTGACGGATGTGGTTCCCAAAGCGCTGGGCATTCTGTGGGTGCCAAAAGCTCAGGCCAACCTCCAGGCAAGCCCCTGTCCCTCTGTCCCCACAAACAAGGACCCTTTCCTAACCAGATGGGGCCCAGCTGGTGGCCCCTCCTCAGGTCTGAGCGGGAACAGGGACTCACCGTCTCTGAGCTGGAGAACTTGCTGGAGACGTGGAAGAAGATGGTGTTCTCGCCTGCGATCATGTAGGAGACCCCATAGCCATCATCTGCTACCTGAGAGCAGCACAAAGCGGGACGCAGAGGTAAACCAAACCTCAAAGATCCAAAGCCAAGCTGATGCTCCATGAGATTCCCAGGAAGGGCCCTACCCCCAGGAGACAGTAAGAGGACCATACAACTTTGTCCTCCTCCCCTGTTCACCGGGGATCTAGCATCTCAGGCTCCCCTCGAGGAGCCTCATCCCAGGGGCGTCTCTAAAACCCTGATGAATGAGCCCGCCTGAGTGTCCTGGGGGAGAGTCGCACCCTCTCTCCCAGAGTTGGCCGAGGGGACGCCAGCCCCGAGCACCGTCATGCTCAACAGAGGTGCTGGCACAGGTGGGGTCCCACGCAGGGCAGGTCCAAGGCTGTGCCCCAGCCTCTGGTCTGACCTCCTGGAGGCCCTGCCCTCCCCACTGAAACACACCCCCCATTTCCTGTCCTGTGTACACATTCCCCTTCAAGGGCACTTACGGGGCCAAAGCCACCACCAGCAGCCAGGTGATTGGGGTACTTGTTTGGGTCAAACATGCGGATCTGGAATTGAGCAGTCTGGCTGGTAGAGAGGCGCCAGGGCTCTGACAGCACCTGCAAGAGGGACAGTGCCATGGTCAGATGCCATGCACTCAGTGCACACCTGCTGACAGGTGG